GAACTGTCTTTTGCGTCGATCACTCGCCGCGACTTTCGATGATGCAATTTATGAAAAGTCGAGAATCGCAGAAGAAACGACTGGGGTTTGTGAAGAAAGAAATCAACGAGAAACCAGGTGGTATCCCTGAGTACGTCACTTGAAAGGCGACCAAGAGTTGAGATGTACCTTGACATTCGATTTGTTTCATTATCGTAAAATAAAAACTACCGGGCGGCAGAAAATAGGGTTTCCTGTTAACACAGGAAACCCTACCGCGCACTACCCCCCCCCCCCCCCCCCCGCACACATACACACACAAAGTGGGGTAGCTGCGGTGGATGCAGTTCGTGACGAAAGCAAATGGTTGGGACTTCGTTGCAATTCTTATATAAATATATGAGCCCCTCCTTGCCTAGAACTCTTCATCTATTGACAAATACAACCCTGCAAAACACGTAAAAAATATTGTTTTAATAGATACTCTAAAACGGATAATGGAAGCCGTAACGGCCTGCCGTGCTTGAAAAGAACGTCTCCCAAAATTGAATCCTGCTTTGCTGTAAGGGTGCGTCTCAAACTGTTGACTAGTGCATCTGAGTTACCCAGGGCGGGAAGATTGAACAGAGCCTAACTTCTCTGATCAAAAACTGTGGCAACATAAGCGGAAAAAAAGTTCCTACAAGTTCTCCTTGTGCATGATTGGTTGCCTCCCCCTTTTCAACGGTTTCAATGCAAAAGTAAAAAAAAAAAAAAAAGAATTGAAGGGTTTTGGGAGAGGAGACTATTCTGCCTTTCTTGCAATTAAACTTTGTACAAACCACCTCCCTTTCACGATAAGGAAAGAGGGACATTTAAGACAAACAGACAAGACAAGCCTGTCTTGTCTGTTTGTCTTAAATGTCCCTCTTTCCTTATCGTGAATTCATAACCAACACGCCCAACCATCTACACCTCCCTTTTTACACCTGGTTTACAACCTAGGTGGGGGGCTCACCGAGAAGGAGGTTTTCAGTTATTGTAAAAATGCAATAGTGTTTGTTGACAATGAATACTGCAAGATACCCAAGTTGGGAAGGGCATTCCGATACCATAGATGCATCGTAAATGTATTTGTCACTAATCCAAGTAATTTTTTTAATGTATCTCGACACAGAGATAGAGATACTCGTAAGTAGCTCTAAGACATTATCGCGATACATATATATTCCGATACAGCCCAGCTCTGATGTTCATAATCAAATGAGCCTACAGTCTTTTTGATCATACGTTCTTCTACATATATACCTATAAACGTCTCCTTCGGGTGTCTAGACGTGTTTTCTTTCCACTCATAGATATCTGTGGTCATGACTGTTAGCAAGGAGTTGGAGGAAGTTGAGTACAGTGCACCTTCTTAACCCAGGATCAGAAGTCCGTTTGGCTCTCCTCATTGACGTGTCAAAACCAGGCTCTGTGGCAGCCTTGTTCGACAAAGTTAAGACTCGTTGTCATGTGCATTTGTGCACTGTGGTAAACAGTGCCGGCTTCTCGCGCACAGCAGAGTTTATGAACACTAGCGAAGACCTGTTACACACCCTGATTGCAGTGAACATACAGGAGGGAATACAATCCTTCGATGGACCCATTGCCTCGAATCTTCGTCAATATTTGCTAGAAGTGTCAACGACGTTCAACGTCAGTTAGAGTCACTATTCAAAACCATTTTATTGGTGGTTGCGACATGTTCGGCGGAGCGACGCCCTGGAGTTTTGTTATTCCCGTCATATGCAGTTGTGAATAATCAGTAGCAGCAAATTCACTACTAAACGTAACCTTGGTAGATTTAGCATTATACTAATATTAGACATGTTGTAAAGACCGCACAATCCACTGTCGCTGGATAAATATTCCTCCCGTTGGGACTGTTGTGGAGATTGTTTTGACATGTTCATAGCGCTCTAAGTAATATTTGACAATACCAGATATAAAGAGAAGAACGCGAGGACTTATTAGAAAGACTGTTAACGTTCCCACATGTAAGATAAAGCAACCGAAATTTGTGAAACGTTCGAAAATATTTTAATTGAAGTTTAAAAAAGAAAGAATACTACCGGCACGTAAATTCGATATATAGCTGAGTTCAAAGTAGGAGTGTGAGAATAAGGTTCGCATCGAATAGAGCTCTTCCATTCACAGCCTTCACCTTGCTATGGAAACCCACGAATACCGGCTCACTTTGCAGCGTTGAAGCTAAAGAATGCTCTGCGTTAATAGATTGGAAACAGTAGTTGGGCTGCCCTAGTTAAAATGACATTCATAAGTTACTTACGAGAAATGCCTCTACATGGGTCGCTAAAACAAAAAGTGCAGAAAAGTTTTTTTTTTCTGCAGATTTCGTGCGAAGCTCGTTTGCTATTTTCGCACGTGTCTTCCTGCCTCTAATTGATTATAGATACAAGGTGGTTTTTGCGGAAGATTTTAAAATTTCCCAAAATATGCTGTTTTCGATAAAAATTAACTTTTGCTGGGAACGAAAAACCAGCCGTGGTGGACGTCAAGGACTGGAAAAATATAATAATTAGCAAGATAATTAAATAATATTTAGGAATTAAGTTTTCATTAGTGAAAATAAACGATGTTCTAGTGAGACACTTGCTAGGCATAATCGAAAACCTCTAAATCAACCCTTTTTAGAAAGATATAAGGCGGGGGTAGGAAGCATTTTGTGGCGTTCCCAAAAAACAAAACAAAAGGACACGCAGTTTGTAAGTGTTTCTAGGTTTCGATTTTTTATCGAAGCGCACCTTTGCACCAGCGGTCCTGCTTCCCGGTGGTCGAGGCGCGAAGCCATCGCCTCGCCCCTCTGGTAGGATGGAGGGAGGTATGTTGAACGTTATTGAGCGTCTCGGCCGCTGGGGAACAGGGCCGCGGGCTCGGAGGTACGCTCCGATAAGAAATCGAAACCTAGAAAGCGTCCAAGATGAGCGTTCTTACGGAGCGTCATAAACTGCTGTCCCTACCTTATATATTTCTAATAAAAGGTGATTTAGTGGTTCTTGATGATGTTTAGCAAGTTTTTCAGTAGAACCATAGGTTTAGTTTCCCTCATTCGAAATTAATATGTAAATTTTAGCTAATTATCTTGCTAATATTTATGGTTTTGCAAGTCATTATGTCCGCCAAGGCTGGTAGTTTTCTCTCGCAAAGAGTTTTTTTAATCTCGAACAACATATTTTTAAGGACTTTAAAGACCTTTGCAGAAGCACTCCCTATAAGACGCTTGTTTTTAGACACGAGTATGGTGTTTTGCTCTTTCACAAACACATGTATTACGAAAGCGCGGTTGTCTAAATGTTTGCTCCTCTACCGATTTTATTCTTCATTTAATTTTTTTTTCCCAGGGATATTTTTTGTGCTTTAACTGGATTCATGGACAATAGTGTCAGACAAGGCGAGTAAGTGCGCTATTGTGATCATTGGCATCGTCGAGGCCATGAGCTGCCTCATGAATGATAGAGCCCACGTGGCGTCAAAGCAGGCGTCCCGGGCATCACCAAGAGCATTGCGCTTGAACTTGCTTCGGCCGGAAAGCACGTGAATTTTGTGATACCAGGCCTCGTCGAAACCCCTTTGCTCCTCGACCATACAACCGAAAAGGCATAGACAATGGTGGCCGCACGCACTCCCATGGGAAGGCTGGGAAAGCCAAAAAAATAGGCAACGTCGTGGCATTTCTTGTTCGCCTGAGTAGTTCCTTTTTCACGCGTGAAATGATACAAGCGTCTGGCGGTGTTCACATGTGATGAGCGTGCGTTTTGTACTGGCAATACAAGGCAAGATAAATTCTTCGATCTCTCAGCAGACTGCGCGTTTGAAATGCAAGGGAGCACAGTTAAATGAAATTTTAAGTTTCTGAAAGACCCAAATGCTAGTTGGTTGAAGTTCGAGGAAGGTGAAAATGTTGTGCTGGCTTCTATTAACCAACCTAAAAAAAGTCTAGAAGGAAATTCAAAACTCTGTATAGGATTTTGTTACAAAAGTAACGGCGGTTCATTCCAGAACTGCTGCATTAAATGCCATGCACCCTGATTTCGATATAATCAAAATAACTTCACTTGAGACGTGTTCCTTGTGCCTGTATATATTGTCAACTAAAAATCACGACAGTGTGGAATTTCTAGAGCGTAGCTTTCACGCCACTCCTTGCTAGTGAACCACGACTACTCACACACCCACCAAAGCACAAGGCCAACATAGGATAACCGGGAATATTTGTGTCCTCCTGTCATGGCGGCGGCAAGTGGCGCTCACCCTGTATATGAAAGGCCCAAAATAAATGGAATATGCAATATATTTTTTTAGCATTCTATAGAAAAAAAAACATAAAAAAACAACAACACAAAAAGCACTGAAATCTCGTATAGCTAGTGGATGATAAAACCATACAGCGAGCTTAAGACCCTTAGGGTCGATCCGGTCTCCTGCGTTGCCCACGTGGCGCTGGGACAAAAGATTTGTTAGGTCTCGTTTTGGATAGTAATGCTTGAGCGCCTCAAACTTCAACACATGTTTATCCTTAATCTGATACCGCAGCCAAGGCCACAAGAACGAGAACTCTACCTTTAGCTTGCTCCTTTGGGGGAAACAGAAAAGCACCGATGCAGCCGACTATTGAAAAAAAAGAAGAGGGAGCTCCGGTAAAAACAAACCAACACAGTACCATGCAAGCGCCCAGCAATACAACACAAGTGTTCCCAGGTCGAGACACTTGCCAGGCGAACTTCTGCGTAATAAATACTAAGGCTGCCGTCAAAAGCACACAGACGACATTAGAAACAGAGGGAATTGAACCTTCATTGTTGATATTTTATGCCCCTTGGTAAAGAACGTCAGACGCAATATCCGTATTCGTTTTTAAGGACGTAGATAAACGGCATTGTCAGTCCGTCTATTATTCCCAAACCTTATTAGGCACAGTGCCGCGAAAAACATCAAACACTAGAATCATCGGAAGCGAACAGGACCACTGCACAGCAGTCATGCTCCTGAGCGGACGGCTAGCATTGGTGACGGGCGCAGGCAGTGGAATCGGTCGTTGTGTCTGCATGGCTCTAGCGGCGGACGGTGCCATTGTAGTGGCGGCGGATTTGAATCTGGAGAACGCCACGAAGACAATCAATATGCTGCCAGGTACGTGATACCTTGTTCTTACTTCCACGCTCTTCAGTCACCATATACATATCTGCGTTCATCCTAAAGGCAACGCAAACATAATCGGAAGGTATTTACGGATGGAACAGTCATCTGATTGTCCCTGTACTGGCTGGTGTGATAGTTTTATGAAGCCGGCATAAAATGCGAAAGTTAATGAACGTCATCGATGAGACGCTGAGAGCCCATATCGAGTTTGGTGAGCAGTAACAAAGCTTGTTTCGGCTAAGCTAATTAATCATTCAAGGCTAGTTTACCAAAAGGCTTAAGAAGCACTGCAACAAAAAATAACATTTAGATGGCTTAAATGGAACACATATTCGAAACAAAGTATATATAAAATAAATGTACCGCATTATTAACTCTGCTAGATGGAGTTTAAGTGGAAAATACAAAACAAATTAGTCGTTAGTTTTTTATGCAGCGGGAGTTTAGTCTGCCAGAACAAGAATAAAAATTGTTCCTACTGCACATAAAAAAATTCGCCGGTGCAGTACGACTGCTAGCCTATTGGTCTTTATATTGCACCACGAGGTAGTGATGCACGACCGCACACCGGCACGAAGCACATCCAGGTCGAAACGGGCAGGGGCGGGGGATCGCACCCCGTATCGGTTTCGCAGCAAGAACCATTGCTCCACGTGCTCTGAGCTGGTAAAGGATGTTGAAACTTAGATCTACGAACGCGGGACTCCAGACAGAAAGGAAGGAGAAGCGGGGTCCCAATATGAGAATGCGCGTTAAGAACGATTGATGGCGGGCCGTTTGCATGCTCTAGAGTACATTAGCGTTTTTGTCAGAAAATGCTTGGCTATTAAGTGCCGAGATGTCAACGAAATGTCAATGCTCGACATTGCAGTTACAAGGGCTGCCGATCGCTTTACATCATTTACCTTACTTTCACTTTTAGTATTTGATATAAAACGGAGTGTTTCCGTTCTATATAATATTCCGTTTTGAGCATGCGTTCTCCAACAAATATCTGTAAACATTTCTCCCATTCGTCTACACGTGTCTGTTTCAGTTAATAGACGTGTGCTGATGACGTCGGAAAATTATTGAAAAAATTGAACACAATTTGAGTATAGCAATCTTCATTTATGCAGGATCTGAAGTTCATTTGGCTCTTCCCGTTGACGTGTCCGATTCAGTTTCCGTGGCAGCTTTGTTCGACAAGATTAAGACTCGCTGTCAAGTGCCCTTGAGCATTGTGGTGAACAGTGCCGGCCTTTCACGCTCTGCAGAGTTTATCAACACTAGCGAGGAACTCTTCGACACCATGATTGCAGTGAACTTAAAGGTGGGAATACAATCTTTGAATGCATCTATTCTAATTGTTCCTCATCGACGTTTACTGGAAGTGTTGAAGAATCTGGGCATCAGTTCAAGGCGCTATTGAAAACCTTTTTCTGTTCGTGCTGCTTCTTCCGTCATGCACAGTTGTAAATAATCAGTACCAGAAAATTAATCACTAAACGTACCCTTGGCAGCTTTGACTATACACTAATCTCAGACATGTTGTAAAGACCGCACAATCCACTGTAGCTTGATAAATATCACTTCTGTTGGGACTGTTGTGCAAACCTGTGTTACATGTGGATAAAGCGATATGGAATATTTTACGAAAAGAGATATCACAAGAAAGCGTGAGGACTTGCTAGAAACACAGTAAAGGTTCCCACACAAGTGAGGTAAAGCAAAGGAAATTTCCAAAACGGAAAAAATATTTTCAAGGAGTTTAGAAAAAAGAAAAGACACTACAGGCACGTAAATTATATATATAGTTGTGTTCGAAGTTGGAGTGTGAAATAGGCGTTCGTATTGGATATATCTCTGAAATTCACTGCCTTTACCATGCTAGGGAAAACCAGGAATACCTGCTTTTTTTGCTGCGTTGAAGCTAATGAATACTCTGCTTAATATATACAACACAGTAGTTGGGAAGGTTTAGTTAAAATGACAATTACAATTTACTTACAAGAAATGCTCGCTCACGGGTTTGCAAAAAAATGAAAAAGGTGCAAATAACCTTTCTTTTACAAATTTAACGCGATGCTGGTTTGTCATATTTTCATGTGCCCTCGAGTATCTAATTGACTGCATATGGAAGGTTTATATTTGCGAAAGTTTTTGAAAGCCTCAAAAATATGCTGTTGGAAATAAAAGTATACTCTTCGTTGGTAAAACAACGAGATAGTTGATTCAAGGACTGCAAAAATATATTAGCGAGATAATTAACTGATATTTAGTAATTAATTTTAATGAGAGAAAGGAAACATAGTTTTGCTGAGAAAGGAAGTGACGAATGCCAATGACGTAAGATATTAGGTAGGGGCAGCATTTTGTGGAGTTCTGAAAAAAACGCCGCGTTTGGAAGCATTTCTAGGTTTCGTTTCTCTACCGGAGGGTATCTTTGCACCCGCAGTCCAGCCCCACAGTGGTCAAGGCGCGAAGCCGCGTCCTCGCCACCCTCGTAGGATGGAGTGAAGTATGGGGCACGTGTGTTACGCGTCTCGGCCGCTGGGGAGCAGGAGACCGGGAGCAGAGGTTTTGCTTTGATAAGAAAACAAAACCTAGAAACGCGTCCAAGCTGGGCGTTCTTACGGAACGCCGAAAATTTCGGCCCCTGCCTTATATATTTAAAAAGAAGATCTGATTTAGTGATTTTTGATGATGCTTAACAAGTTTCTGAATTGAACTATATGTTTAATTTCACTAGTTATAAATTAATTTCTAAACTTTAGGTAATTATAATGCTAATTATTATGGTTTTCAATTCTTGACATCCGCCAAGGCTGGTTGTTTGTTCGCGCTTAGAGTTCATTTGATCTCAAACGGCATATTTGTAGGTTTTTTTAAAAGCCTTCGCCGAAGCACCCTGTACAACTCGCTTGTTTTTCGACGCGATTGTAGTTTTTGCCCTTTTACTCTCACACTTAATACGTAAGCGCAATTGTCTAAATGTTTTTTTTCTACGTATTATATTCTTCATTTATCTTTATTTTAGCAGGGCACCTTTCTTGTCAGTCAAGTGGCTGCCCGGACAATGATATCAGGCAAGACGAACAATTGCGCTATTGTGAACATCGGCAGCGTCGTGGCCAAGAGCGGCCTCATAAATAATAGCGCCTACGTGGCGTCCAAAGCAGGCGTCACGGGCCTCACCAAGAGCATGGCACTTGAACTTGCTTCAGCCGGAATCCGCGTAAATGCTGTGCTGCCGGGCCTGGTCGAAACCCCAATGGTCATGGACCATACAACTGAGAAGGCACGGGCAATGGTGGCCGCTCGCACTCCCCTGGGAAGGCTGGGAAAGCCGGAAGAAATAGCCAACGTCGTGGCATTTCTCTGCCGTCCATGTAGTTCGTTAGTAACGGGTGCAATGGTAGAAGTGTCTGGCGGTCTTCACATGTGATGAGCTCGCGTTTTGTACTGGAGATACATGGCACGATATATTTTAGTATATCTCAGCGGACTGCGTGTGTGTGAGATGCGGGAGCGCGCTGTTAAATGAAATGTTAAGTTTGCTGTAAGATCCAAACCCTTGTTTGGTGAAGTTCGATGAATGTCAAAACGTTATTCTGGCTGCTATTAACGACCTTAAAAAAAAAAAAAAATCAATTAAATTTTTTTATCGCATATTGTTAAAAGAGTAACGACGGCGCAACCTAGAACTGCTGCATTCAATGACTTCCACCAAGGAATGGGCACAGCCGAATAAACTCTTGTTCGAAGTGAAATAAAAATAATTTAAATATGGAGCGATATGAAGTATAGGTCACTAAGGAATAACCTAATTTTTTTCGGTATCGATGACAATGCACAGGACACGTGACCCCAATAAGAAAAGGATGTGATGTTTCTGTGATTAAAGTTTTCGTGTGTATGAGTGACGCTTGAACATATAGCCCGCGCTCATGTTCTGGGAGCTTTTGGGACTGCGAGATATCGCACAATAATGGTACAGTTCGGAGATTTCATAACTAAGTATCAAATTCTCTCGAGCAGCTCAAAACTTAAAGATAACCTGATTTCGATTGCGGAAAAGTATTCCCTAGACGCAGGGCTGGTGAGGAAAAGTTTACTTCAACATCAGGAAAGAGAAGGGTCAGTCTTTAAACTGCGTCTTAAAAAGGTTTTCCAAAACGGAAAGTGTTTTATGTAGAACAATCTAGATACCTGGAGTGTCTATCGGCTTTCTTCTTCAGCCGTTCAGCGGAGTCGTGAGCGGACAGTCAGCTAATGACGCAGTTGCGACAGGGTCAACTGTTTCCCAACAATCGGTGAGGGGCAATGAGCGTGGCAGTTTCAACTGTAACGTTTTAGGATTTTTGCTAACATTAGAAGTATGATATGATAACGTGATCATTTATCTTCAGTGATTGGTCCCTCTAATGCATATTTAGTGGTTTTAACTTCTTGGTTTTAACATAAGTTTCTTTTTCTGCAATTGTTTGTAACATTGAGATATCGTATTTCATAGCCAGAAACATTACAATGACTATAGGATGGATAGTATTGGCAAAGCTGGTGGGGGTGTTTTGTTGGAAGTAACCAACATATTTGTTCCTTTTAATGAGTTAATTGCTTGTGCTCCTGAAATTATCAGACTGTGTTTTTTTACTTTACCATAAAGTGATGATTAGAGTTGGTTTCCGCCCTATCGAAGTGCTGTACACTTTCTAATTCTCCGCACAATTGCATGAACCAAATTACTGTACTCTTTTCTGGTTCGCCTAAAATTTGATGGATGTTTTTAGCTATTAAAATATTAAATGATCTGGTATTTGTTTTGTTTTATACTTTTTTACCATCGAAGCAAACATGTTTGATGAGTTAATTTATAATTTTCACCTGGTTCAGCTTTTTGGCAAAGATCAGTAGTTTTGGATCGTTTTTTATACCTATGTGAACCAAAAAGGAGACTTCAAATTTATACCGAAATTAATTATGAGGCCCGCGTAAAATACCTAGGGTTGCATTTTGACGAGCACATGACCTGGGAATATCACGTGGATTACATAAAAAAGAGGTTGAGAATTGCTTCTTGATACATATATCAGGGATGGGCAGTATTTCAAATACAAGTATTTGAAATACGTATTTCAAATACTTGGTGTATTTTGCATTTGTATTTAATTACAAATTGGGTAATGTATTTGACGCGTGTATTTAAATACTAAGACATGGGTATTTCAAATACAATTGTAATTAAATGCATTTTTGTGGGCGAAAATACATCCCGCAAATTTATTGTCACGATTCATTTTCCTCATCCTAAGACGTGTCCAGAGCAGGAAGAAAACTACGTTCTGCACCGAATGCAGTGTCTCTCAATCAAGCACAAGCGTTTAGTGACTTTATGATTACGGTGCTAGTGACGGTGCTAGAATAGTGACGAAATTGACGTTCACAGGCAGACTGGCTAAATAAGTTCCTGTGACAGCTGGTGATGCTTTCCAGCCTGCACTTTAAAAAAAAGGTGTAGTGGGTACACCCACAGGGGGTGTAAGTGCTGCCACATATACTACACCCATAAAGGTGTACAAATACACCTCAAAACACGGTGCATAAGTACACCCTCCTTAGGGGTGCATACGTGCACCCTTTTATACACCTTCAACATTAGGGGGTGCACGGATACACCCCATACTGGGGTGTGTCACTACTCCTTTCTTACACCCTCACTGTCGCTTCGGTGTGCAGGTACACCCCAATTTAAGGTGTACAAGTATTCCCTTCTCTACACCCACCAACAGGGTTTGCTATTACATCGTTGTTTACACCCACCCCGCTCATAGGGAACAGAGATACAGCCGCCAACGGGGTTTACTATTACACCGTTTTTTACACCCACCCCGCTCATATGGAACATATATACACCTCATCCAATGATGTACCATTACACCTCTTTGTGCACCCACCTCAAGAAAACCTGTAAAAAATGTGCGCGCCCAGGTGGTTGCAAAAAGGCAGGTAAACAGACACAACGGATTGTTTTCAAATCTCCTATAAGTTTATTCGACAGCCATATTCCGTAAGCAAGTACAAACGTGCAAGCAATCTGTGATATGTGAAGATGTGCAACGAAGCTGTTACACAACTGAGGAGATTACTGAGCGAACACGAACCGGGGTAATTCTTAGGTAGTGTCTATTCTCTCAGCAGCCGGCAGAATTATTTACGCGAAATCGTGCCGGCAGTCGTCACTCATTGGCGATATGATCACTTCATCGAACGAAGTTTCATCGGCAGCTCAGGTTAGCTTTCCTCTATAAGCACCTCTTCTCTCTTTCGTTTTGTAATAAGCCGCCCCAGACTATATGCGCGAGGTGATATATACGGGTATTACAGGTAGGCTAAACATTTTTTTAATGAGACGCCGCATACTGTCAACACGAAGAGACCTGAACGGGTGGGCTGGGCCGGTGAACACGCGCCTCAGAGACATGTCCCTACAGCCCCTACAGCGTGTATTTCGCGTAACGAGTGACGGTGAAACGTTAGTGTTCACGAAACGTGTCTAGAAAACGTGTATCAACGAATAGGCGTCCATGAAACGCGTGTTCACAAAACGCCGCGAGAATAAGAAAGTCACCTGCAGTTATCACATGATTGTAGACAGCTAATGGCAGGCGACTGCCGATAGAATTTCGCGGAAATTATTTTCCCGGCTGCTAGGAAATAGACACTGCCTAATTTTAGACGTAATCCGGAACGGAACGGTCAATTGCTGCAAAGGAGTAGGTTGCAGTGCACTTACGGTGAAAATACCGGACTTGAAAGAGGTAATCCGAGATAGATGTTGACACGGGCACTGCAGAACCACACAAACACAAACACAGAAAGAAAGTGGTCTGTGAAGATTCAACACAATGTGGCAGAAGAAGTAATTTGCCAAACCGAACACTAAACGCATCACATGAGTTCATTGGGCTTTTTTGAAGAAATCGCTTGTTTCCGATGTACGTTGGACTTTTCAAACACTGGAAGCCTTGGTACACTCGAGTACGTCGTCACGGACGAAATCTTTGGCAGCCCCGGTGGTCGCAGCACAGCACACAAGAAACTAGGCCGGGAATCAGACATTCCCGGATCGGAAAGAGCTACTACGTCCCAAGTAGCACAACACGCCGGGTTGGGGATGGGGCGGTATTGGCCTGCCGGGATAGCGATACCGGCCAGTACCGGAAACGCCCCAAGGGGCGACATTGGCCGGGCCCAATGCCGGAATCCGGCCGGTACCGGGACCTTATTGGGAAACCGGGATGCCGGGAATACGGGATGTTCCCAGCGAGCTCCCGACACAGATCCCCGGCATGGAACCGGTGGTACGGTAGGAAACCATCAGTGTGCCAGCGTGATTCCGGGTCAGAGCCAGTCCAATTGCGGATTAGTCCCAGCGTAAAAACAGATCAGTGCCAGCGTAATTGCGGGTCAGTGCCTGCGAAATTGCGGATCACCAGCGTATGCGTCATTCAGTGTACCCAGCATAGAACCAGCAGAATGCTAGCTGTGTCAGGCTTTAGAGCCCAGGAATGACATCCTACTGCATTTTTGAACAGCCTACTTCTCAGTAGATCAAATTGACTTAAACGTGGAAATGCTAAATTTCTCAGTCCAAACCATTTTATTGGTTTTCATATCTTTTATAGGTGCTGACCGTTTTTAACATGTTTTTTGGACTTGAACTGAAAAAAGCCGGTTTAGTATTTGTGCAATTTTAAGAAACAATTCCGTGTGAACAATTGACTTTCTCCATGTATACAGTATACTCATGGCAATTACTGTATACTCGTTGAGACGACATGTCCCATTCATCTGTCGCCCAGATGCATATTGTGGGTAGTACAAGAAGGGAACATACAAAATGTTTTTTACCGTGACATTCTTTATTGTGACTCGTGCATCCATAGCAGCTGGCTCCTCAGCCAGAGTGTCCCTCATCATCAAAGGCGGTTGGAACCACCAGTGGAGTGTCCGTCTTTTTAACTCTATTGCCCTTGCCCGCCTCCCTGCCCGTCAGCCACTTCTGCACCGTGTCCACGCTGCACGAGTGCGACTTTGTATGGCACCTGTAAAGAGAGTTGTCAGATCACACAGATTAGTTGAGGGATAGGGGAAGCCAATATCTTGCATATTAGCTACACACAAGGTGCTGTTCAAACACTGCAGTTTGCGAGCGTTTCCTTTGTGTAAATATGGGTCCCTCACCTAGCCTGCAATTCAAAGGTGACAGAAAGAGAGCACCACAGAGGTGGAGATTGTGGGTTTGGCTACCACGCTAAGGTGCAGATTTTACGGAGGCATATGGCTATTTCACGCAACATCCTATTAATCTGAAATGGGGGGCAAGACGGGGTGGGGTGCAGAGATGAGTGGCTAAAAAAAGAGAGCAAAACTTCCCCAACTGAC